GGAGGGTGTGGGGTGTGAGTGTGGGTGCGTGTTAGGGGAAGCATAGCACCAACATACCCACACCCACGCCCTTAATTGTGGATCAAGATTTCATGGCACCCTCAGCTATTGAGATGCCCTTTGGTGGCTATATCAAGATTTTGCCTTCACCCTCAGCTATTGATATGCTCTGTGAGGCTTGTACCAAGCGGGATAAATACACATTATCTCTTAAACTATTGGTCTATGACCCTTGGGAATACTTTTAATGAACTTCCCAGGGGCTAATTACTCAAATTACGTCAAGACATGAGGGGGGGGGTCGATAAGTGTATTTGTCCCCATTTTCTTTTCCCTTCTTTCTTATTCTCTTCTGTTTTCACAGGTTCTCTATTGTATTGCTTGACTTATTTCTCAGTTCCACGTATACTATATTTTTTCCAACTTGGAAAGAAAGGATATGATATTATCTTTTTCCTAAGTATGTCTTACTGTACGGATAGAATGTATTTGAGGAAAATATGATATCATATTCTTTCTTTTCAAGTTGGAAAAAATATAGTATACATGCAGCTGAGAAATAAGTTAAGGTATAAGAAAGAAAATCTGTGAAAAGAGAAGAAAATAAGAAAGAAGATGAGTAAGAGAAAAGAAAGAAGAAAAATACCTTATGTCATGCATATAATAGATATGGTGAAGGAATATCTTGTTTATTCGCTTTCATCAAGTCGAGTCATTATATAATTTTTCACTATATAAATCAAGCGGTCAGTTAAAAGTTTTTTTGTCAGAACAAGCCATCACTCAGAATTTTGCTTTAGTTTAATCTAAATCAAATAATGATCAGCAGTTAAAACGAGTAATATATTCTTTCTTTTCTTCTCTCTACTTTTAATTGATTGATATAATTTACATTGAGTCATTCATTAGTATATAGTTGATCGAATTGATTTTTTCCCCTTGATCAATCTCTTTAGACGTAGTAATGTTAATAGAGAAATTGCACAACTCAACAGAAAATAACTGATGACAAAAGTAAATATGAACAAATTTTTTCGTATCTGACGCTGTTGCCTTTCTAATTTTTCCATCAAACTATCATCGGATAGTGAAAAGTTATGTAAATATTTTTATGCATGACGCTATATGCTTCCTTTATTATTTTTATTCATGCATATGATGACTCAAATAGATGCAGCAGGCAAAATAAGTAGTGGTGTAAGTACTAGGGATGCTCGGAGACAATCCATCCCTTATTAATGGCTTTTACCCCAGCTCTTCCTCGTCCCAACATAAGACAATACATTCTTTACATTGCACCTGTTAATAATGTGACCAAGATCAGCGATAAATGTGTATCCAAAAACTGAAACCTTTTCAATCATTTAATAGAACAATACTTACATATATGCTTTTAGATTCTTCTTCTTCTTATTATTATTATTATTATTATTACTATTATTCAACTATCATATATATATTTAATATGAAACTATTATGTAAGTCAACTATTTTTTAGTAGTACAATTTTCATATTTTCTTTCATTTACTAGGCATTTTTGCTTTGTTATTCGTTCATTTGCTTTGGTTTTCTACCTTATGTTTTGATGTTGTTATAATACCAAATGACGATCTCATATATTTAAATGAACGACTACAATTACATGAACATATGAATCGTGAAGATGCATTAAATTCAATTATAGAATTAGAAAATTATTATTCCCTAGACTGAAAGGCTAGGGTCTAGAAACCGTAATTCACGTGTGTCTGTCTGTCTGTAACAAAGGGGTTGGCACAAATGACCATTTTTATGGCACAAAATGACCATTTCTATGGCATAAAATGACCATTTCTATGGCACAAATGACCATTTTTTTGGCACAAACGACCATTTTTATGGCACAAATGACCATTTTTATGGCACAATTGACCATTTTTATGGCACAAATGACCATTTTTATGGCACAAGTGACCATTTTTATGGCACAAATGACCATTTTTATGGTACAAATGACCATTTCTAGTGCACAAATAACCATTTCTGTGGCACGAACGACCATTTCTGTGGTACAAACGACCATTTTTATGGCACAAATGACCATTTCTGTGGCACGAACGACCATTTTTATGGCACAAATGGCCATTTCTATGGGGCAAATGACCATTTCTGTGGCATAAACGACCATTTCTATGGTATAAACGACCATTTCTATGGCACAAACGACCATTTCTACGGCACAAATGACAATTTCTGTGGCACAAATGACCATTTCTATGGGGCAAATGACCATTTCTATGGCAAAAATGACCATTTCTGTGGCACAAACGACCATTTCTATGCCACAAACGACCATTTCTGTGGGACAAACGACCATTTTTATGGTACAAATGACCATTTCTGTGAGACAAACGACCATTTTTATGGTACAAATGACCATTTCTGTGGCACAAATGACCATTTCTATGGCACAAATGACCATTTCTATGATACAAATGTCCATTTCTGTGGTACAAATGGCCATTTCTATGGCATAAACGACTATTTGTATGGTACAAATGACTATTTCTATGGCATAAACGACCATTTTTATGGCACAAATGACCATTTCTGTGGTACAAATGACCATTTCTATGGCACAAATGACCATTTTCATGGTGTAAAGTACCATGAGTCGTGGTACAAGTGACTATTTCCATGGTATAAAGTACTATGAGTTGTGGTACAAGTGACCATTGTCACGATACAAAGTACCATAAATCGTGGTAGAAGTGACTATTTTTATAGTACTTTGTACCATGAGTCGTGATACATGTGACCATTGCATAGTACCAAGCACCATATTTGTCGTACAAACGGCCATTCATTTGACACAATTGACGATTTTCATTATACAAATGATCGTTTTTGTGGCTCAACCCAATGTTGTCAGGGCACAATCAATCACTTCTATGCAACAGTTGTCCATTCCTATCACTCAAATGAGCATGTCTGTCTCATAACTATGCATATCCGTATCAGAAATGGCCAGTACTATGACATAAGTCACTATTTTTCTTTGTTATAATCAACTAAGACGTATGATTTATCATATATATTAGCATCTTTCAATATTTTATGCCAATTGTTTAAATATATCCATAGTATGTAATATCAAACATGTTACAAATACTAATAGTTTGTTCTAAACTCAGCAGTGTACAGAATTCATTTTTATTAAAAAATATAAAGACATCACTGTCATCATTCCGTCAGTCTAGGGCTCAGTGAATCAACATTCAGTGTTGATGAACGTTACTTGTAGAATTCGTCTAGTACTTTTATTATACGAATAATTCACTTTGAAATGATTAAACCGTATTGCATCTCTTGTAAGATTGTGTTATTTTTTTTTCAATGGTCGATAATGGATACAAAGTTGAATATTATATAGTAAAGACGATTTCGTATGAAGTAAAAATTGTTCAATATAATCTTCATGAACTTCAAGAAGAATAAATTTAGTAAGATGAATATGTTTAACAATTGAGAAATTTTGATTGTTGTTTATTTGTAGTTTTTCATTAATTAAAAATAATTCTTTCATAAATGGGAATGATTGAGCAATTTGAAGGAAAAATTCATGTTCAAAAGGATTTTCATCAATCAATCATATTCGAGAAACGGATGTGGGTGTGGAGTATGAGTGCGGATGAGTAGTTCTATTACACTCACATCCACCACACCATAGCCACAGCCACAGCCACACCCCCACACCCTATAAAACCATTAGAAAATATTCTATTATTGAACATAACATTTAATATTGCTGAAAGTTTTGAGCTGATCTCTCTTGATATGGACATAGATGAATGTGAGAATTATGATAATTTAATAGACGATCCTAAAGAAGATTTTTAGAAGCACTGACGAAAGAACGCAAAGCAGTACTGCAATCATGACTGATATTCTGGATGATGTATTCGATACTAAGACTTATCTAGAATTTCATGAACAACTTACTTCAAGTTAATTGTTACAATATAATTGTGCTTCACTCATTGATGTAGCAATAACAAGTAAAAATACATAACGAAAAAGTATTATAGTCTCGCAAAAAGCTAAACATTTAATTGAAAAGTAATCAACACATTTATAATAACTTCAAAGTTTTTTCAGTATTACACTGAAGAGATCTTTTTACCTGAAGATCATTTGGATTTTGTAAATGAAACAAAACTTATAGGTGAAATCAAGAATGTTTGTTATCGTAAGAGCTTTTCTTCTACTTAACAGAATTTTAGAAAAGAATTCTCTATATAAATCTGTCTAAATTCATTGTGTTACTATCGATAAAATCAATGAGTGAAGTATATTTTGTTCATACGATGAAAAGTTCGATGACTAATCTAGTCCTATGATAGAGAATAATAGCAGATTCTCATTCTCTCCACATACTTCGAAGTTTCATAATATATTTTGTAATTCTTCTTTTGCATTAATTGATAAATTATAGTGCACAAAACTCTTCTCTATCATAGAATACTTCTTAAGCCTTATATTATGTCCTACAGGAGAAACTTTTTTTAAGGAGGCTTTAGTAACATCTCATTTATTTTCATAAAAAGAGTCTTTCAAGAAATACAATCGATTTGGGAAGAATTACATCTGGCACAACATTCTATATACTTGCTAATCAATTATTACTATTTCTTTTGTTTTTTTTTTTGTTAACTTTGCTATTTTCTATTAAGATCGAAATCCCTAATAGTTTACATTCATGAATATTATGTATTTGTTCTAACTGAATAAAACAAATAACATATTGATATACTTTAATAACAATTTTTTTTCTCGTCTTCTTTTATGATGTTTCTAAAGCAGTTAGCTACAATGGAACTACTACGTAGCGTAGCCGAAGTTATTTTAAAAGCAGCTGAAGAAGCTGTCAATGCAAGAAAAAGTAAAAACAAATATATTTGTTATTCTCTTTATTTCAAAAAAAGAAGTACAAATATCAAAACAATTAAAAAGTTTTTGTCTAATGACATTTAACACTAGTAACCTGTTGTGTGTGATCTAATCGTACATAAATAATAGCTTGGCATGTTTTTAATTGACCGCTGCTACCATCGACAGATTTACCACTAAAATCTATTTTATAATTGAGACCAGCAACAACTTGAGTTTGAACGCCTGTAACTTTCAGATGATTAAGAAAAAGATTTTCTTTTGTAGCCAAATATTCAGCAGCATAACTAGTTAAACCTTGAACATATTTATCTTTGATTAATTCAGGACGATTTGTATAACCACCAGCAATTGAACTATAGCTAACAGCTATTAAGATAGTACCAAGAAAAATAGTGATGAATTTAAACATTTTTTTTATTTCTTATTAAAAAAAACCGCAGTTTGGAAAAAAATATGATTTGTCTATATATATATATTCGTTACTATTTTATATAAGTATAGTGATATGGAGGTAAAACACAGTAAGAAAAAAAGATAAAAACATTGGCCTTGTAATTTTTCAGTCAGTTATTGCGAAGAAGTTTGAATAAATATTTACAGTTATCTCCATCGCCCGAAAAAATCGATCTTCGGTTAAGCATATTTATATTACATGAAATTATCAGGATATCTTCTGTTGTCGAAAAGAATAAAAATGGAATGAAAAACTCAATGACTTGACAAAACTTTCATTAAAAAAATGACGTTTTGCTTGTAGAATTAGCCCTTTTTTTTGTAATAAGAAAACTTTGTCATGTCCTGCATATATGAAACCTTTCTCTACTAACACGAATATTAATATTGTGATATGCATTCATCAAATATTGATATCAATGAGGCTGCATGCGCAGAACAAATCGATGAATGAATAGTTAGAGAGTAGATCATGAAACACTTTCATGACGATGGATTTCTTTGGTAGACTTCGATGCTATAACATGAGTCACAAATTAAATATATAAAATAAAGTTTCACAAAGAATTTCGAATGATCAAAAAGAAAAACATATTTTTCATGTGTCAATTGACAGATAATGTTAGAAAAGAAACAGGTATAAAGCAGAACATAATCTCATTTATGAAAGATCGCACATTGGAGGGTGGGTGGGTGTGGGTGGGGTGTGGGTGGGTGTGTGGGTGTGGGTGTGGGATGGGTGTGGGGGG